TCTGCGTTTAGTATAATGCATTCCACTATCCTAAGCGATTATAGATATTGGTACAAGAACCTGAAGATTCAAGTCTACTGTAGCAAGACGGTGCACGAACCAGAGACACCTGTTGGCACCAAGCCACTCGACTGCCCACAAGTCCGTCCCACATGCCCACGTTTCCATGGGCCCCCCACAACCTGTTCCAACGACTACAAGTGTGCTGGCCTCGATAAGTGTTGCTTCGACAGGTGTTTGGGAGAACACGTGTGCAAGCCTCCCTCATTCTTCAATAACATTCTTTTCTTTTTAAACCTGGTTATATCTGATGGATAGTCAGCTGTTTTTCGGTTGATATGGAAAGAAACTTGTGATTTGCAGATATTATAGATAAATGCTTGAATCCTCTTTTCTCTGTTGAATGTTGTTGAATGTAAATTGAATCTATAACTGATAGAAATATGTATGTAGTAAATCTATGAAGTAATTTGTATATCTTCATTCAGCAATAATGATACTCAATCGATTGGACTGGAACTTAAAGATCACTGTCCTCTGAGAGAGAGATGCTATCAGATTATACCACTAAATATAGAAACAGAAAGCGTATTATACTTAAATTATTGTATTAATAGAGAACCGAATAATAGAATCGGTGAACATACAAACGAATGATAGACAGATGCTGAAATAAACTGGAATGAAAACAAATGTTGCTGACTAAATTATATACTCATTAGGGACGAAATAATTAGAAGAAGAAGATGAAAACAAGAATGACTCGTTCTTAAGGTGACAAATATGAAAAAAAAAATCATTCGACTGCCAAATCAAGTTCAAGTTCAACAAGTAAAGTTGTTTTAAACCACCTTTTTTCCCGACTCCATGGGAAAAAAGGTAAAACTGTTAAAGTTACGTGGGACAGGCTTTAATGAAACTAGTTCCTTATTCAAACTGCCTAGCTCCTAAGCAAAGAAATCGTTAGAATGTGAATGAAGATATTGTGAGTCTCTGTGCGTGGAATTCAACCGGTTTACTTAGGTTCACTGAGACTATTATGAGACTATTTATTTATTATGAGAGTAAGAAAGAGCGAAAGAACGTCTCAGATCTCACGAACGCTGCCTGAAGGGTTATTGTCTCCAAATGTTCTCTTTTTATGTAGCTTTATGAATCCTTCATTTCACTTTAAAACAAATTTTCTGATATATATTTACACTTCTATTCCCATTTCTAATTCCCTTTCCCTTTCTAATCTATAGAGTTTTTGGGGTAAGAGAGACATCCTTACATTACCAGCATTCTTTCAGTTTTCTTCTACCAATCTTTATCCACATGAAAGTTTAGATTTTCATTACCGATGGCAGAAGCGATTAGGAAATGAAGGAATCGGATTTATGTTCCATCCTTTTATTTCTCTCCCCTATTCCCTCTTTCATTTCCTTTTCTCTTTCCTTTATTATCTCTGTGCCCTCCTGATCCCCCTTTCCAGGTCTCAGGCTCTAGAGGACTGGATTCCTTATTGCAATGTTAGGATCGTATAACTAATAGTAATACCACTAATACCAACATGACTATAATATTGATTATGTTCTTCATTCAGTAAGATTGTTTTCCTGTTCCGTTCTCCCTTACCTGTGCTCTGTGTTCTTCCTGTTTCTCACTTGTATGTGTGCGTGTATTTTATGAGTAATTTTCCTTTCTTTCGTCACTGTAAAAAAAATCCCACAGGGAATATAATCTTACTTGCCCTCTATTGCTTATAACAGTAGTTTTCCCTGTTTAAAGATTTATTTCTTTATTTTGATTTATTTATTTATTTACTGTCTTTCATGGTGTTGGAAGATCGATGAAGATAATAAGAGAGGAAGGGAAAACAGGAGAGGCTTGTGGAGAGATACGTAAAGGATGAAAATACATAATAGATGATAATGTGCAGATATCATATACTGAAAAAAATGTATAGAAAATGTAAGGTAATCAAGACAAAGAATACAGAAGATGTTGGAAATGAACATATAAACATAAAAATAAAAACTCAAAGATGTGTTAGATATTGCACTGTGCTGCAAGATTCGCTGCAAGGTCACTCACACCCGAATGTATTCAACAAACTAAATATCTTATTTACATTTAATTTGTCGTTCAGTTAATGGCTTCATTTCAGAATTCCTACTTAAATCAAACGGAAATTGATGATCATAATGATAGGTGTATAAACAGTATTATATATAAAGTGTATAAACTTAATATAAAGTGTATTATATATATAAATGTATTATATATATATATATATATATTATAATATATATATATATATTATATATATATATATATATATATATTATATATATATATATATATATATATATATATATATATATATAGTGTATAAAGTATTATATATAAAGTGTATAAGTGTATAAACAGTGTATAAACAGGATGTATTCGCTTCGAGATGGCAACACCCTGTTCTTCCCTGTTATCGACCTTTACTCTTTTTCCTCCCTTTATCAGTCTTTTCCGTCCATCCACCTCCTTCGCCTCCTTTGGACATAAAGACGATCCGCTTACAAATATCCCAAAACAGACGCATATTCTTCGGATGACGAGACAAGAACTGGATACTGTGACGTCATCGCGCTGGAACTCGTCTAAAAAACTGAGGCAACCCCCCCCCCGCCTCCCCCTCCTCCTCCCCCGCCTCCCCCTCCTCCTCCCCTGCCTCCCCCTCCTCCTCCCTCCTCCCCCTCCTCCTCTCCAGGCCACTGGGATTCCCTGATTGAATAACCTGTCATTTCATGTTACTCAGCCAACTCACCGCTTTATGCAATGAAGTAAATAATAAAATGGTAATAAACAAGGTAATAAACAAGGAAGAGATGGAATGTATGCTGATAAGTGATAATCGCACTAATGATATTAACGTTATGGGTCATACTTGTATTGATAATGGAGATGATGAAAATAGTATCAACAACAAGTAAATCATGTGAATTAAATATTGATAACAGTGGCAGCAGCAACACCAAAACGAAAGCAAATAACAAGACATTGCAAAAACAATTATTATTATTGATGTAGCAGCCAAAAAAAAAAAAAAAAAAAAAACACCAACAAATTGATAACTAATGAAAATGCAACAACAACAACAAAGGAAATTCATGAAATTATTTTAAAATGTTAATGTTGACAAGTATAATAGTGATATAAATAACTGCAATAATATGGCATGTAGTTAATAACATTATGGCTTTAGTAACATTTCCTTTTCTCTTTCTGGGACATTTATTGGTTTTATTTCCTCTTATTGTTTCTTTCAATTCTTACATTTTTTCCTTTCTTGTAGGTAATCAGTTTTTTTTTTAAGTGTTTATAAATCCTGGTTTTACCTTTTTATTTTTTTCTTTCTTTTTTGCATATCCTTTTCCTTTTCTCTTTCTTTATCATTTATTTTATTTTATTTATTTATCTATTTATTCATTCATTTATTCATTAATTTATTTATTTATTTATTTTTGGCTAATCAGACATTTTTCTCTGTACTGTTCTTTATTTGTTTCTTTCATAACCACATTTTTTATTAGTTGATAAAGCAAACGAATAATGATAATAAAATTGCTTAGTGATAAGAAATTAAAATGATTGAGAGGAATTCATGGTAAGAAAATATCTTGAAACCCAAGCAGGGTACGACGCTTGCAATATTGCTTTATAAGTAAGTGTATTATATAGTCAGACTGCAACTCACACATACCATATTACCGGTTTATAGCTGCCCTCCAGCAACCTTAATATAACCTTATACAAGTACTACTATTCACGAACCGTATTCATGTTGACTAATGTGGAAAGTTATGAATGAGAACGAATATGTTCACAATACGAGAGATGTATTTAACCGGTTTCGATTATATCTTCGTCAGAAATACGTGTATTTCTGACGAAGATATAATCGAAACCAATACATCTCTTGTATTGTGAAGATTTTCGTTCTCATTCATACCTTTCCACACTACTATTTACGTTATTTAAATAATACTGCTACGTCACTACAGGACACGATGGACGAGCAAAGTCTTGGTTGTGTTTTGTCTCCTTTTAGTCTTCTGTGCTGGTAAGGACCGAAGGAGAGAAAGTCGACAAGAATCCAAGAGGTTTCTTTCCTTGAAACACAAAGAGAATTAAAATCAGTTGCAATATGCTGTATTTGATAAGTCACAGAGATGTGGAAGTATATGTGAGTATGACAGATATAAACATATAGATTTCTACCAATTAATCCTATATATACCTTCAAGAACATGTATGTATTTTGAGCATAAATGGATAGGTAAACAGACAGACAGATGACATCTTCCACGTTATTATGTAACTATGAATTATCTGCTTGTCACCCTTGGGTATGTGTGATTTTCGTGTCTCTGGTTAATGAAATTAAAAAGGGAAATGAATCGAGGAAAAAAAAAAAAAAAAAAACATACTCATGGTTCCTGGAAGTTTATTCCGCTAACCGGGATATCCCGACTGACGAAGCGGGGGAGGGGGGAGGGCGGGCGGTAGCCAGATCCTGTATATAAGCGAGGCTGCAACTTCCACTCGTCACATTACACACAGCTCACCTCTTACCAACAATGAACGTAAGTGCTTATTCTACGATAAATAGTAACAACTGCATTGTTTCGCAATTAACATCGTCTTATAAAAATCAGATATTCATAATTTGTTGATGTCCTATTTAAATATCGTCACTAATTCCCTTATCTCTTCTTACAGAGCATCAAGGCCGTGATTGTGTGCTGCCTCCTGGTGGCCGTCTCCGCCGGTGTAGACCGAAGCAGATTCCTTCCTGGAGGCTTCGGTGGCGGTCTCCTCGGCGGCGGAATCCATGGTGGCGGAATCCATGGTGTCCATGGCCATGGTGGTAGTGGTATCATCGGAGGTGGAATCTCCAACGGCCCAAGCGAGTGCAGGTATTGGTGCAAGACTCCGGAGGGTCAAGCCTACTGCTGCGAGACGGTGCACGAACCAGAGACACCTGTTGGCACCAAGCCACTCGACTGCCCACAAGTCCGTCCCACATGCCCACGTTTCCATGGGCCCCCCACAACCTGTTCCAACGACTACAAGTGTGCTGGCCTCGATAAGTGTTGCTTCGACAGGTGTCTGGGAGAACACGTGTGCAAGCCTCCCTCATTCTTCAATAACCATCTCTTTTAAAGATGATTATTTTAGCCAAAGAAACAATCCTATTTCAAATCTTTTATTTATGAATATATATTTTCAATAATAAATTTTGAATGCCTACAAACGTAATTTAATCCATGAACCCCCGTTTAAGAATTAAGTCGAACGTTTAGAAAGTTAATTTAACAAAATATATAAGGGAAACATGAACTATATTTGGGTTCAGTAAAATGAACGTTTCACAGTTTAATAAAACGTCTACTGTGAAATGAAATGTGAACTTAATTTATATATTAATTATATATTAATATGAGAAAGCAAAGTTAGACCAGCAACATAAAATATTAAGCTTCCATGCCTTTTACTTATAAAACTACTATAAATTTGTATCAATTAAACGTAGAGTAAACTAATTCACGGTAACTGAGTTCGTGCTGATATCCTTTTGCCGGATGGAAGGCAAACGAAGAAGCGAAACGGGGAAGCATAAGAAAGCGAGGGACTAAAGGTACTGTCACACGCACTTTTTCCGTTTTTTTTTTTTTTTTTTTTTTTTTTCGGAAATTTTGTCCATTTTTTGGGGCGAATTGCGGATTTTCCAGTCAGATAATGATCGTTTCCGTCTGAAAACCTTTCTGTCAACTTTTTCAGCCAAGCATACTCATATCAAGAGCTATATTAGAGAATGTTTGTATTTATGTAAAATAAAATTGTTAAAAAAATTGATGGAAAAAGTGCTAGTGTGACAGCACCTTAAGACAAGGGAAGGAAGAAACAAATATTCGCTGCTTAAAAAGTGTATATCATTGAGAGCTTCATCTAAGTGAACCTTCCTTAAACATTGCACTTGGTTATCATTTTAATACTAACCACTTCGTCATAGCGAATGCAAATACATTGCAAATTATCCAGCTCAATCGCCTCCTTCTCCATAGAACACGTGAGCTGGACACAGTGACGTCATTGAGCATGTGATGGATGACGTCACAGGAAGAAAATGGCCTTGCGTCCAAAGTACCGTTTTGTTATTTATTTCCAGCAATACTATTCCATTCTCGTTTGAATATACTAGTGTATTCACTCCCATCACCCAGAAGTATTTGTATTTTATAGCATACCTTTTATATTTTTCTTCTCTCATTCGTAATCACTTAAAAGGATATTTTTTTAGACTTGCTCTATATTGAACATAGGAGTGGCTATCCTGCTTAAGGATCTCGCTTTCCCTTTGGTCTTCATGGTGCAGGAAGATACATGAAGATGCTGAATGACGAAGGGAAAGCAGAAGAGGCAAGTGAAGAGAGGCGCAAAGGATGAAAATACGTAATAGGAAAGGACAGGCAATTATCCATGTCTGCAGAGATGTGAATGTGTGAAGAGAAAAACTGAAGAACAGTTGTTGGTACTGGATATATACAAAACAAAAACACGGGGATGTGTGAGATGTACTTTATTTGAGCTTTAGATTCGCTTGTTTAAAATCATTTGTATGAGTATGAGTATTTGTTTTGTGATGAACAAATTCTGTCTTCATCCTTTCTCTTCACTTCTGTTCTTGTTTTTCCGTCCATCCACCTCCTTCGCTTTCTTAGGAGGGGATAAATGCGATCCACTCCTGTAAATGTGCTATTGCAGACACATTTCTATGATGACTCGACTAGAAATGGATACTGTGACGTCATCGAGTTGAAACCACAGACGTAAAAAAACAAGCACCCCCCCTCCAGGTGCGATCCAATATGCTGCTATTTGGAATTCCTGATTGGATAACCTGTCACGGTCTGTTACTTAAGCAACTCACTTCACTTTCAGCAATTCATGCTAAAAAAAAAAAAAAAAAAAAAAAAAAAAAATGGAATTAACGCTTATATGTGATAATGGTACTAACGATAGTAATGATATGCGTAATACTAATTATAATACTAATAATAATGGTAATGATATTAACAATAGTAAACATAAGGGTAAAATATCGATAACAGTGATAACAAAAACAAAAAGCAACCAAAACGAAAGCAAATGACAAGACAATGTAAAAACAGTTATTGCTGCTGGTGTAGCATAAAGACAAAGCAAACACCAACAAGTTGATAATAGTAGTGGTTATAAAATAAATTCAGAAAATTTTGGAAATAATAATAATAACAATGATAAACTTATTACTATTACATCACTATGAGAATATTAATGTTTATGCTAATATTGATTACGGTGGCATTTATTAGCATTTCATATTCTCTTTTCTTGGAACTTCTTATTTCTTTCTCTCGTATTATTGTTACTTTAATTCTTATATTCTTTTTGGCAATTATTTTTTATTTTTAAGCATTTTAAGTAAGTCCATTTTTCATTATTTTCTTAGCGTCTCACTTTTCTTCTTGGAAATGAGGTATTTTTCATAGCATTTTATCTACAGTTTTCCTTTTTTCTTTTTTTGTCGTCCCCCTCTCAGTCCTGTTTTTAATTTGGTATCTTATTCTCAGTCACTATTCAGTTTATTTAAATCTATTCATTTAGGGTTTGATTGTCACTTCTAAAAGAAGTGAATATTAATAATAAAACTGTTTAGTGATAAGAAATCAAAATAACTTTGAAGTTTCCCTATAAAGAAATATCAACAAATGTTTGTAATATAGTGTTATAACTAAGGGATATCCTGATTGGTAATAGAGGACAGGAGGTTACCAGATCACAGCTCACGTACATACCATGTTAACATTCTACAGCTGCCCTCCAGTAACCTTAATATAATTCTATACAAGTGGAATTGGTTGATTATTCAAAATCATCTGAGGCATCAACAGCTAAGGTCATAAAACTTTTGGTTTAAAATGTTAAAATATTTAAACGTTTAAAACTCTATCAATAAATGATAATTATATTGAAAAATAAATGATTGAAAATAAAGTCATGAATATCGTACCTTCAAAACACGCAATTATTGCACAAATATGCATAATAATAATAATATGATAATGATGATGATGATGATGATGATGATGATGATGATGATGATGATTAATATAACCCTTTGAAAACTAAGAATTTCTACATCACACTTTTTTCCCAATACATTTTTTTCAGCGTATGTGGGGGAGACAAATGCATACTTTGGGGGTCTTGAGATTGCTTCATAGACAGATATAAATATTCATGTTATATAAACAATACTGCCACGTCACTGCAGGGCACGCGGATTGATTTCATTATCACTCTCCGAGCAACGTCTTGACTGTCGTTTGTTTTCTTGTGTTTTTCTCCGCTGATATAAACTGAAGAAGGAGAGGAAGTCGACGAGAATCCAACGGGTTACTTTCTGAAACATGAAGGGCCCTAAAATCTGTTCCATATACTGCAGATGTGCTAGATTTGATAACTGATAGAGATGTGTATCAATATATAAGCATGGTATAAGCATATATACATATATATATATATATATATATATATATATATATATATATATATATATATACCTATTTACTTTATATATATACCCACATACATATGTGTTTTGAGCATAAATGTATAAATCAATGAATGAACGGATTGATGAATACTTTCCATCTTCAACACTATAATGAACGTGTAAATCACCCGTGTGTATGTGCGTGATTTTCATTTCTTTATCTAGATAATATATGGAAATGAATCGAGAAAAATTGGTAAACAGCAAAATAGTACCTTGGGAAGCCATACTCATCATGATGGAAGTCATACCAATTACTCGGGATGTCCAGATTGGCAAAGCAGGGGACCGGGGGGAGGGGGGAGGGGGAGGGGGTAGCCAGATCCTGTATATAAGCGAGGCTGCCACTTCCGCCACATTGCACACCTCACCTCTCGCCGACAATGAATGTAAGTGTTTATTCTCAAATAGAGATTATCTGTATTCAATTTCACGTTACAGAAAATCAAACACATTTTTTTTCTAACACTGTTTATGTATATATCGGTCAGTAATTTCGTCATCTCTTCTTGCAGAGCATCAAAGCCGTGGTTGTGTGCTGCCTCCTGGTGGTCGTCTCCGCCGGTGTAGACCGAAGCGGATTCCTTCCTGGAGGCTTCGGTGGCGTCGACGGAGGCGGTCTCTTCGACGGCGATATTTATGGGGGAGGAATCCAGAGTGGTGGTGGTTTCATCGGCCCTGGAATCTCCAACGGCCCAAGCGAGTGCAGGTATTGGTGCAAGACTCCGGAGGATCAAGCCTACTGCTGCGAGACGGTGGACGAACCAGAGACACCTGTTGGTACCAAGCCACTCAACTGCCCACAAGTCCGTCCCACATGCCCACGTTTCCATGGGCCCCCCATAACTTGTTCCAACGACTACAAGTGTGGTGACCTCGATAAGTGTTGCTTCGACAGGTGTTTGGGAGAACACGTGTGCAAACCTCCCTCATTTTTCAATAATAATCCATTCTAAAGGTGATTGTTGGTAATGAAAAGACAGGAAATCTATTTGTATATACTTGTTTTTGAATAATAAAACGTTATATATGAGTATCCTTTTGCATCTGTTTAATCCCTACATCAGAGTGAATATCGATATAAATTACATTATCATAAAAACCTACTTTAACGCATATGTAAATGGCATAAAACACATCAGATAAAATAATTTTCATGTAGATTTCTTTGATTAAAACTTTCTCATTTCTGGTTATCTCTTGAAAATTATGAAAGGTCTTCGGAAAACACACGTGTTTACACATTAGTATTGGCATACGTACATATGTAAATGTGTACGTATATGTACATGTATGTGTGCATCTTCGAAAACTTCAAGCTTTAAATCATGAATCTATTTCTGAAGAAATACTCTGTAGTAGAATATGAATCCTCTCTCTGTCTGTCTCCTGCCATCCTGCTTTCATCCTCCCGTCCTTCCGTCCTCCCTGTTTACACCCCACACCCTCCCTTCCTCCTCCTTTCCTTTTACTCATTCCATCCTGCTTCCATCCTCCTCCCTCCCTCCCTCGTTCCACTCCACGCTCTCCACGTAGGAATCGGACACCGCAATACATTCCCAATGGGATCTTCGTTAATCTTGTAACCTGTCATTGGTCTATTACCTTCGGGATTCTATTCAAGTAAAGGGGTGGAATTAAATGCCAAATGATGAGTATAACGATGCTAATAATAGTAAACGCATAATAAATACCTGAGGATGACATGAATATATTTTGATAATCTTTGTACTTACACTAATTCGAGACTACTTATATCTAAAAAAAAAGTTTATTTTCCTTATCATTACTTAATATCATTTGCAAACGAATCTTATTTGCTTATTATATTTCCGGAAATCCAGGAAGAGGAAGTGCAGCTGAGACAGAGAGAGAGGAAGGGAGGCTAAAAATAGAATAAGAATAAGAGGAGAGAGAAGAGAGTAGAGAGCATAAACAGCGAACTGGAAGGCAACGCCACTGAGGTTAGGGCTGATGACGTCACAGAGAAAAGTAAAAGTCTAAGACATCGCATGGAACGTCAAGAATTTTGTTTCCGTTTACTTCCACTGTCATGTAGGATTTTCATAATTCATATTGATTTCAGACCAAGCTGAAGCTGCTGATTCTCTTGCCCTTGATCTTTATGAAACTGAATTAGAGTAGACACATGATTAAAGAAGTTATTTCTATTGTCATGGAGTTTTTCCTCTTGACCGAGTGTATCACCAATTTTGATAGGCGGGGATGTACAGATTTTAGTAGAAGCAAAGTAGTGATCAATCAGCATTTCTGTATCAAATGCTAGCTTTGCATAACTGACCATCAAAGCTTCATTCTCATGGGGAGAAATTCTGCAGATCCATATTTTCTAATACAATGTTAGTTTCCATGGTAGCTGACATTTCACTTTTCATCATCACATGTTATCACTGTCATTCTTATCGTCGTCATTAATGCGAAAAGGAAAGAAGTGAACTGGAAAAACAACCACGATACCTGGAATTGCCGCTGGGTTGGGATATCCCGTCTGGAGAGGCGGAGGGGCTGGCCGCCAGTTCCTGTATATAAGCGACGTTACGTCTTCCACTCTCCACATTTTACTGCTAAGCTCTAACCAACAATGAATGTGAGTGATTGTTCCAAAATGCACAATAGTATTTAGTTCGATCGTTTTAGAGGCAATTAAATATTCTTATCCTGTTGCGAAGTTGATTATAAATTAGACATCATTTTATTTTAATTACGATAAATCAATAGGCAACATGATGATTAAGTCCCTTTTCTCCTCTTGCAGAGCATCAAAGCCGTGATTGTGTGCTGCCTCCTGGTGGCCGTCTCCGCCGGTGTAGACCGAAGGGGAGGTGGACGAGGATCCAACAGATTCCTTCCTGGAGGCTTCGGTGGCGTCCACGGAGGCGGTCTCCTCGGCGGCGGTATTCATGGTGGAGGAATCCATGGTGGTGGAATTCATGGCGGATTCCATGGTGGTAGTGGTATTATCGGCGCTGGAATCTCCAACGGCCCAAGCGAGTGCAGGTATTGGTGCAAGACTCCGGAGGGTCAAGCCTACTGCTGCGAGACGGTGCACGAACCAGAGACACCTGTTGGCACCAAGCCACTCGACTGCCCACAAGTCCGTCCCACATGCCCACGTTTCCATGGGCCCCCCACAACCTGTTCCAACGACTACAAGTGTGCTGGCCTCGATAAGTGTTGCTTCGACAGGTGTTTGGGAGAACACGTGTGCAAGCCTCCCTCATTCTTCAACAACCACCTCCCATTTTAAAGTTAATTAGAAATCATCGTTATCCGGTTGATAACGGAAGATAGGAAATCTGTGATATTTATTTTTTAATAAAGCCTTAAATAGTTATACTTCCCTTTTTTTCATTCGTCTAGATTATAATACCCAACTCTAACTTGATAAAAGTAGTCTGAAATATATGGATCTATAATAGTTTTAACAAATAGGGTAGGAAATACACAAAGGAACTATATAAGCCTAGTTTTCGTTGGACCAAGATCAGTGTGACTAATGCAGTTGCGAATAAGAGTTGATATTATTTATTCTTCGTTTTTAAAGGTTATTGTAAATAGTGGGTCATCAGTTTCCGGCTCATAACGGAAAATAGGAAAGCAGTAAATTGTAAATATCGTTATATATATGTATGTATATATATATACATACATACATACACACAACACACACACACACACACACACACACATACACTATATATATATATAATATATGCATACATACATATGGGAACATATATATACATACACATGGAACATATACATATATACATAGATACATACATATTTATATATACATACTATATTTATATAAGCACATATAAACGTATGTGTGTAATATCTCTTGCATTTATGTAACCCATCCTTATAGATTATAATCCATTGAACACTGATTTGAAGTACCTTGATCTTAGCCAACCATAAAAGCCTAATTTATTGCATTTTAAATGGTTTAAAACACATAACATGAAAGGCATTGGTTTCGGTTAAGATTCCTGCGATGGAGAATTCCCATTTCCGATTTTCACCATCTTGAAAACGTTGAAAGGACTAGTTGAATACACAAATGTTTACATACGCTTATATAATTGGGTCTATGTAGATATTTAGGAAACAAGGGGAGAAATTGCAAAGCTACAACAACAGAGGAAGGGAGGAGAGCCGTGAGGTAAATGAACAGGGAAAAAACTGGGATTTATAAGGAGTCATAGTGACGTCATCAAGTTTGTGGTCAATGACGTCACAGAATAAAGAACGGGTTTTCGCGTAGTGTTGCCATCTCCAGCAAGCTCTATTTTTATCTAATTCATTCACTTCAGTTGACGTGCAGTATTTGATTACATTGATTTTAAACAAGAAAATATATGGCTATCGAACTCACTTCTCGCTTAGTTAATTCGAGGATTTATTTTTATACCAACTATATTTGTATTTCATTTTGTGAAGACCAAGCTTTAAAGCCTGAATCTGTTTCTGACGAAATCCTGTGTAGGGGAAGTTGCAGCAACAGTGTAGGGGAATACGAATCTGTTGTAACAAGACATGTTAAACCAGATATAGAGCTTATACAGAAACTGGTCAGTGTGACGTCACTGAGTTTGGAAAATACCTAGCAACCCTTCCTTGCACACTTCCCTCTGCCTGTCTTCCTTCCTTTATCCATTCTGCCTGTAACTGCATTCTTCCACATTCCTCCCTCCTGACACCTCACCCCACCCATTTGCACCCTTCTCCCTTTCCCTCCCCTATCTCCTTCCTTTTTCTTTGTACACTCTTTCCTCCCTCCTATGCCCCATATTCCCTACCTCCTTTCATTCTGTTTGTGTTCTCTTCCCTCCTGCTTAAACCCTGCCCTCGCTTTACCCTCCTTCCTTCTTCCATCCTGCGTGCTCTCTCTCCCTCTTCCTCCTATCCTTCCTTGCTCCTTACACCCTCGTCCTCCCTTCCTCACCCCACCCCCTCCCCGTGATTGAATGAGGCGACTATTTTGGCAGGACGGAATGAAGTGATTTTAGCAGACGAAATAGGTAGACTGATAATCATTCATTCTTTGTCAAATGCCATTTTTGTATAGCAGACCTGTATTTTCTAATTAAATACTGAGCTTCATTCTAGCTGATTTTTTCTTTCTTTCTTTTCTTTCTTTGTGGCTGTCACTTTGGTCTTCGTCATCATCAAAAAAAAAAAAAAAAAAAAAAAAAAAAAAAAAAAAAAAGGGAAGAGTAATTCAAAGTGTTTCGCAACAAGTGAACTGGAAAACCAATCACAATACATGGAAATTCACGCCGCTGGCTTGGGATATCCCGTCTGGTGAGGCGGAGGGGCTTGGGGAGGGAGGGGGAGGGAGGCGGGGCCCGCCAGTTCCTGTATATAGCGCGCGTTACGGTGTACGATCGGGACGCCGGTCGGGCGAGACGGACAGGTCTCCACTCTCCCCCACCAACATTTAACAATAAACCAACCTCCTAACCCGCAATTGAATGTGAAATTGCTCGTTGCATTAGAATGTTCTCTTCTTTGTCTTCTGTTTAACCACAAAAAAAATGCATTTTGATGTTCATATTCGTTGCAATAGCAGGCACACTTGGTTCATTAACAACTGTCTTTATTTAACAATATAAGGCGGCAAAATGTACATGAATTTTTCGTTATC